TCTTCTGTAAACCTAAAATTCATTTTCATGTGTGGGTCTTTAAAACAGCAGTAGTGAAAGGATAGTATGGGCCTAGATGAAGAGATGCTCAAGAGAACATATCAATATGAGTCATTGCATAATCCGAAAACTTTTAAGGACAACCACAACTTTAATCCCAAAGGTTACAGCTCAGAGTCATTATGTAGTACTAGAACATAGTTAGCTTTCCTCATGCACAGCAGTAGTACTCAACAGTTTAAGGCAGAAAATTAAGATAAATACTGGACACAGTAAAAAATCCTGAGGCAATTTATACAGATGTAATGTTATTCTTCAAGCTGCAGTGCACCCAAGGTATGAGGATTGCTGAACTTAAACCACAAAGAGCCAAAGAGGAGTTGATTTGTGCCTTCCCTGTCAAAAGATAATGTAGGGCAGGTTAATTAAATAAGAAAAAAACCCCATCGTCTTCATTTCTCTTGCCTCAAGCCATGCCAAGGCTCTGGGGGAGGTGGCACAGATCTTCCCTCCAGCAGGAGAAAGTGAGAAGGGATAGCAAAGACGAGAAGATTAATAGCATTTACACTGTCTCTTCCAAAATAAGAATTAAGAGGCTTAAAATGAAGTAAGCCCAAGCTAGATTGGAAACAGTCTAAAAAAGGTGGTCTTTATGCAATGGGGAATTAAACTGTGGAAGTCCTTGTAGGTGGGTGTTAGGAATGTAAACGTTTCCACGAATTCTGAAAGGAAAATGGAAAAAGTGATAGAGAAGAAATCCATCTGAACGACACAAAGAAACCATGACTGTCTCAAGAAGTCCTTCAGCTGCCAGGGAGCTGCAAGAGTGAGGATGTTCCATGAGGGCCAGGAGCCAGGAGCTGAGAGTTATCCCAGCTCATGGGGAAACAACCTCACTAGCCGGGGCCCAGCTGCACTGTACCCAAGCAGCTTGGTGGCAGTGACACGGTCTCTCAACAGTCCAGCAATCATTAAACCAATAGGCCTTACTGGCCCTGCCCTGCCCTATCTGAGTCCTTCACCCACACCCACAGCTCATGGGCACAGGGGCTCCATTTACACTCAGGCCAGGGTCTTCAGCTCCTGCGTGAGCTGTGTTGTAGGTGTACCTCTTTCTAGTACTGTCCTTGAGCTGTTTGGCTGTCCTGGTTTGAACCTGGACCTGACATATTACCTTATGATCACTGAACTGTTGATAGCACCTTCTTTTGACACTACCACCTTCTCTAGTCACCCAGTTCAAGAGCTGTGAGACTGCACCTTCTCAGTGAGACCATTGCCCGGCCTTTGTTGTGGCCATCCTTGGCTCCTGACTTGTTCTCTGTTATGGAACAGTCTTGCTCTTGCTGCTCCCTGGCAGTTAGTTCAGGCCTTCTCAGGCCCCGAGCTGAGTACCATGGAGCCTGACCCTCAGACCAAGCTAGGGCTTGCCCCCATAGCCTCCATGCACCTAGGTGTCATAACACTTGACCCCACGACCACCCTGCAGTTTCTGATTCGACCCCAAGCCCTGCAAGAAACTGTGATGAGTATGCAAAGGCAGATCACAGCCCTGAAGGCTTCTCTAACCTCCCCTGAACCCAAGCCGACACCCCCTGCCCACCAACTCCTTTAGCGACTTTTGGGAGCATCTAGGCTTTGTCATGCTCCAAATCAGCAGCCCTCGAGGAGTAGCTCAAGAACAATCTGGTATGTGGGTGGATCTGCTGCTCTACCTCCACTGCCAGTGCCCTGTATTTTTTGTCAAAAAGAAGTATGGGTGTTTCTGACCGTTCATAGAAGGAGCCTTAAGGTGGCTTCAGCCTACCTAGGATCCACATGCCAGCAGATGGGGTCCACCTGGCACCCCAGGAACTCCAGCCTGTACTGCTGAAAAGAGCAAATCTCTGGGGTTTGACATGGAGCCTAGCATAGGATTTCCCTGGCATAATCTGTGTGCCTGTCAAGCATCAGAGAACATGAAGATGTCAAGAATGCCACTACATAGTTATCAAGCAGGCTGTGCAGGACACCACTGACAAAATGATGGAAGGTGGTCAGAGGAGAGAAGAGACCAAATGGTATTGCAAGATCCTTATAGTGTCTGTATCTGGTTCAGAAAGCAGCTTTCCACTCCTTCCCTTCTAGCAGGCAGGGACTGCAGACTTTCTCAGAATTTGCCAACCTCTTTCGATGATTTGTAACAGGTTTTCCAGTATCCTGGCTCCTATAACAGCACCTACTTGGAAGGCACCTCACTTTCTACAGGCATAAGCACACTCACCTTCTGAAGAACTGAAACAGGCATTCACCACAGTCCTGCCCAGGTCCTGGTTAGCATCTTATTGTAGAAGCAGATGCTTCTGTGCCATACGGGCCATATTCTCCTAGATGCTGGCCCAAAGCAGGATCCAGGACCCTATATGTCTATTTCTCTAGGCAGCTCACCTGCACTGAGAGGAATTATGATGTCTGGGACAAGCAGCACCTGAAAATCAAAGCTGCCTCTGAGGAGTGGTAGCACATTCTTGAGGTAGCAGAAGAACCAACAGAGGTGCTGACCTACCACCAGAACCTGGAATACAATTGAAGGATGTGTTGCTTCTCTCCCCACCTTGCCTGCCAGGCTTCTCTCTCTCTCCACACTTTCTTAACTGTCCATTTGTCACTGACTTTGGTTTCCAACCCAAAAAGTCTGCCAGCCACACCAGTTGCCTCACATGTGACTGCACCAAGTGACTGTCAGAGCAGGGGTTTGTTGGTGCAACTGACAACAATTGCAATTTCTTCCACAGTAAAAGCAATCCCCTTTTCTCTGTCTGTGTTCTCGTTCTTGGGATGAGGGGAGAGGTAGATGGTGTCTACGTCCCTGGGATCTTCCTCTGGGGATAGTAAGGAAGGTGGAGCAAAACATGATGGAGACCTGCATATGTTCTGCCTGGCAGAGGCAGGTGCTTTTCCAGTGACAGGCCTGTCTGACAGGCTGCTCCTGGCTCTGGGGCAGGCCAGTCCCAGCCATCTCATTTTTGAGGGCCTCAGAGAGCCCTAGACTTCAGAGGGCCAGAAAGGCTTGCTCTTCAGGCTCAGTTTCCACAATAAACTCTATTAATTGTATTGCATAGTTAGTGGCCAACTACTACCCCTGCTGGAGCTCCAGCAAGACAGTCTTGGCCATTGCACAGTTGCCATCTCCCCAAAACTGCTCCAAACAATGGTTAAGTCATCAGATTTTGGATAGATTCAGGCTTGCCAGTTCTTCTGACATCAACAGCAATGTTGGAAATAGGGCCTGTGAAACCACCTGCTCCCAACCCACAATGAATAACCATTATAGCATCCCAACTTCTGCTAAAGACAAGGACACGCTTTGCTTGTGGATTTTTGTTACTTTAAATCATAGAATGGTTTAGGTTGGAAAGGACCTTGAAGATCATCGAGTTCCAACCCCCCTGCCATAGGCAGGGACACCTCCCACTAGACCAGGTTGCCCAAGGCCACGTCCAGCCTGGCCTTGGAACACCTCCAGGGATGGGGCCTCAACAACCTCTCTGGGCAACCTGTTCCAGTGCCTTATCACCCTCAAAGTAAAAAATTTCTTCCTAATGTTTAATCTAAACCTGCCCTCTTCCAGTTTAAAGCCATTCCCCCTCGTCCTATCACTACATGCCCTAGTAAAAAGTCCTTCCCCAGCTCTCCTATAGGCCCCCTTTAGGTACTGGAAGGCCGCAATAAGATCTCCTTGGAGCCTTCTCTTCTCCAGGCTGAACAGCCCCATAAAAGCCTTATACTGAGACCTGGGTTGCAGTCCTAAGCAACAGAAAGACCAGTCTCTCTGTTGTGAAGTACTAAATGTGAAAATGCCCGAAACTATCTTAAATACAAATTGCAGAATTCAGATTACAAAACTGTATTTTATAGATAAAAATGGATTTTTAAGAATGCAGGAATTATGTATAGGTACTCAGTCCATTTTCAGACTTAAAAATCAACTGTATGGATTGTGTGTGTCATTGGGAACCAAAGAGAACAATCAACTAATAAAGATGTGCTAAAAAGAGAGGTAGATAAAAAACTCAGATATTCCTTGCCCCAAACCAGGTATTACACTTGGGGGAAAAAAAAAAAAGTCAGACTACTGTCACATGTGCGGTCACCGCATTAGAAGAAAACTATCCCCCATCTAAATTATTCAGAAAAGTTATACCTTAGTTATCACTAAACCGGGCAAAATAAAATGTCTTCACTGCCTGCTCCAAATTAGCACCTTTTTTAAAAGTGTGCTGTCATTTAGAATGAAACATTAAATAAAGGGGGTATCATTTAAGTCTCTACAAACCAGAAACTCTCAAAGTAAAATGACATCTTTAAGCACTGCAGATATCTGCATAGACATAGAATTTCAGCACTAACATCTTTGCCTGAGGTAGTCCAATGTCCTTCATTTTATTTTAGTCTCAGCTTCCTCCTGCTCACACACCTGTACGCCTGTTTATAACACCCAGTGTGACTACATGATGCAATTTAAGAGAAGTACAGTAAAAGGTCAATCATTTTAAAACCATACTATTCATATCCCTAACAGTGTTTTTTAAACATGCAGTTAATTGGACTGCGCAATTCTCTCCATACTTCAGCCAAGATAGCTCTTTCACTTAAAAATTACTGAATACATAAAAATAAAGCTGTCCTTGTCTTATCTGTACAAATCCACGTTTTGTACATTGAATCAGCCATACTGTACAGTATTAAAGTAAATCATGCAATAATTTCCCAGTAAATTACTGACATTTATGCATTTTTCCAAGGCACAGTACACAAAAGACCTGCAATGGCAGATCAGTCTACCACATGAAAATTTTAACCTTCTAATGAGATAGTGGAACATGTTTTACTCATTCTTTGTATTAAGTGACATAAGGCAGCACAAGAAATGTTAACAAGTAAATTCAGACATCCTGGGCTCTTCATCATAGTCACAATGAATACTGGTTCCCTATACAAATGAGAGATACAAAGCTGTAAAATATAATATGGGAATATGATTTTATTGTGTTAATCTGCATATGTATTGGTACAGCTGTTCTGTGAATGCTTCTGAGGAAAATTTTTCCATAACTCTGACTCTCCCAGCTGCTCCCATTGTGTCCTTTAAGAGAGGATCTCTCACAATTTTTTCCATGGCCTCAGAGAATTGCGTTGGCAGCGGATCACACAAAAATCCTGTAACGTTATGCAAGATTGATTCTAAAGGGCCACCTGAATTAACCGCTATAACGGGACATCTCATATACATTGCCTCCAGAGGAACAATGCCAAAATGTTCATTGCTTGGTGTATAAAGCACGCATACAGAGTTACTAAAAAGAGAGATTTTCTGTTCATCTGAGAACGATCTCAGAAAAGTGACATGGTCATTAACACTAAGCTTGGCTGCAAGTTTCCTCAACTCTTCATAGTGCTCCACATTTTCCAGAACTCGTTTATCATAACCACCTGCCATGACCAGGTGAACTTCATTCCACATATGAGAATCGAGTCTTCCTCGAAGCTCATGCAATGCCTCGAGAGCCAATGCTAGATTCTTCTTTCTCTCATACCTATTAATGGAAAGAAACAAGAACTTTTTCTTTTTGGGTATGAGGTCAGCTATGTCCGCAGGAACTACTGTTTCAAAGCTACTGGTGTTGAGCGATGGGTAGAGGACATCTGGATTTATGTGACATAAGGACTTAAACGTGTCCTTGAAAACACTGGCGGTGAACCTGCTGTTCACAACAATACAGTCTGCCATGCCAGTCGTGTACTCTTCCAGCCAGTCAAGCGGTAATCTGTAGATGCGCTTTAGGAGAGATTCTCTCTTGGTCAGGAGCTGATCAGGAAAGTGACAATAAAACAAAACCTTCTTACGAGTTCTGGCCAGTCTAAGCACAGGGATGCAAGCAGACACCTAGTGCAACCAGGAGAGAAAGAGACAAGAGGAGACATTCATCACTTGTGTTAGTACCACTGGCACGTACACCTGATTTCAAAGCCATGGCATAAGAGCCAGCCCTTTGCAAGCCAACTGCTTTCTCCCTCTCCCCTCCACAAGCGCATCAAGCTGCCCTCCCTCGTCCAGGGCCTCTTGCCGCGGCTCTAGATTCCCTCCCTCACCTCGGCCTGCCAGGCCGCCTAACCCCCCCCCTCCTCTCCCCTCCCCGCCCAGGCCCCACCAAGCCGCGGGACTTCCCCACGCACCCCCTCCGTCCAAGGCGCCCCACCAGGGGAGAGCCGGGAGGGCAGCCCAAGCGGCAGCAGCACCTTCCTCTCGCCCCGGAGCACGCCAGCACCCACGCGTCCCCTCCTGCCTCCCCCCCGCCGCAGCAGCGGGGCCGCAAATGGCGGCGGCGGCGGCGCCCCCTCGCCTCCCGTCGGGCACCTGGTCGCAGACGAAGGCGTCGACCGGCTCGCCGCTGAGGAGCACGATGTACAGCGCCACGAAGGCCATGCGCAGGGCGGCGCATAGCGCCTGCCCGCGGCCCCACAGGCTGCGCGGCAGCCCCCCGCCTGCAGCGCCAGCGCCGCGTCCACCACCAGCCGCTCTGCACCGCCCAGCCCCAGGTCCGGGTGCAGGAACAGCACAGACGGACCCCCTTCTTCCTCCTCCTCCCCGCCCACCGCTGCCGCCATGGCTACTGCGGGGGCACGAGCGGCCCACCCGCCCGCCGGCCACGTCCCGCGCAGCACCGCGCATGCGCGGCCCGACGGCTACCGGGGGGCACGTCAGCCTTCCTCCCGGGCCTTCCCTTTCGCCCCGCCCGCCGGGCGGCCATGGCGCTGCCCGCTGCCTCGCCCCGCGCCTCCCCAGCTCGGCCGCCCCGGACCGGCCGCTGGTGAGGGAGCGGGCGCGACCCAAGCGTCGTGCAGAGGCAGTTCTCTCAGAAAGCGGCCGCTGAGGGAGGCGGCGGTGGAGAAGAGCGGCCGGCGCTGCTCAGGCACCCCCGTGGGCAGCCGCCAGGCCCCGGGAGGCGCGGCGCCAGGCGGGGCGGGGCCTGCTGCGGGCAGGGACGTGGCCGGAGCGGCCGTTCGGGAGCGTGTGTGAGGGCCGCGCCGCCCCCCCGAGCCAGCGCCGCCGTCGCCATGGTGAGGTTCTACCCCGTGCAGGAGGTGGCTGTGTTCGCTGCCTCTCTCCTGGCTGCGCCCGCCGCCTCCCACCCCTTCCCGGTTCTCTTTTCTCTCCGCAGCCCGGGCCCAACCCCAGCGCCACCAGCGTCGGCTCCTCCGGCCGCTCCCCCCGCAAGGCCGTGGCCCCCCGCGCGGCGGGCTCCACCGTCCGGCAGAGGTAAATGAGGACAGGGCGCCTGCGGGTCTGTCTCGTCAGCCCTCGGTGCACCCGGCTGTAGCCCCAGGCGGTGCTGTGCCCAGCCGTCGTGCCCTCGGTTTGCCTGGCTGCCCTGGCTGATGAGAGCGTCTCGCTTCTGCAGAGTCTCATGGGGTGGTTAGTGCCACCGCATGCTGGCAGACTGCTAATGTGTTTGGGTCTTTCTTTCATTCCTTTCATCCCCTAAAGGAAGAATGCCAGCTGTGGGACAAGAAGCGCAGGCCGTGCCACTTCCACGGGCACTGGTGGGATGTGGCGGTTCTACACTGAGGACTCTCCAGGGCTCAAAGTGTAAGTTGGATACACGGGTGGTGGCAGGCATGGGGCTATAGATATACACCTATCTGTGTAACCTTTAAGTCTTTGAATTGGGAGATTGGTGTTCTGGTCTGCATGGGAAGAAATGCTGTGAATTGATGGCTGCTTGGGTGGATTTGTGATGAAATATTTTATTTGGTCTGTAAACTGGAGAGGTAGCTGTTGAAGTTACAGCGGCTTTAAAAAGGTAGGTACAAGTTATATTTTGTAATTGCCTAGATTTACCTTAAGTGGTTTTTGAAGACTGCAAGCAGTCCCTTTGAAGTTGGGAAAGTTTACTTGTCAGAGTGAATTTAGGCCCCTACATGCGTATGTTTGTTAATTAAGCTTTTGCTTTTTCTTTTTTAATAGATATGTTGTGATCCTGCACCCCTCCCCCTTGAAAACATAATCTAACTGCTGTTCCACATGCTTGCAGAATCTCAGGTGTTCTTGTTAAAAAGCTGAAGATAAATTATTTTAGTTAAGCTTGCCAAGTGAATAGCATTCTGATACCTTGTATATCTCCATTTTTACAAGGTGAATATTCCAAGATTGTAGTCAAATATCTGGTGGTAGTGTGCCTTAAGCTGTAAAGAGAGCCTAAGTTATTACTTTTTGGCCAGTTTTAGTCATTCAGATCAGTTCCCCAAATAAGCTTTGCAGCCTAATACTTGGGTAGCAAAGGCAGAAGGTGTATTTCAGCAGGTATGTGCATGCTAAGTCATACCCTGAGTGGGATTTTGTGCTTCTTGTAGAGTTATACTTCCTGGCCTCTTGTTCTTACTGGGTTGAAGAGAGTCAAGACACTCAGGGATGTCCTTATTGCTGCTTTTTTTTTTTTTTAGGGTGCATTACCGTTTATTTTTAAGTCCTTTAGGAGGGCTGCTGCTGGCTGCAGAAACAAAACATTTGCAGGAGGGCTGGTGATAGCCTAGTTAGTGATGGTTCCATGATTAATCGTTCCTCTGAAGTTGTCTTAGGTGTTTTCATTTTCGTATGTGCTTCACATTTTAAAAAACAAAAACTGTATGGCAAACCATCAAAGTGGTGGTGTTCTGCTACTGCAGATCTTGCTTTCTCCATTCTGAATCCAGAGAGGAGACAAGGTAAAGAAAGAAAAAGACAATGAGCAACAATAGTATTCTAGAGCAAACCTGTGCAGGTAAGGCAAGGCAACTATTTTCTGTGTTGTTTGGTCTACTAAAGCTCAATTAAAAAAAAAAAAAGAATAAAACAAAACTGAGAAAACCCAGAAATGTTCTACTGTTAAGTAGGTTTTTTTTCTCAATAGACTTGTGATACAAGCTGTCAAAGCAGCTTTATCAATTTCAGTAAGTTTCCTTGTGAATCCTTTGGTTTCACTTTTGATGTTAAATGGCCATTCAGTTGTTCTAATTTTCAATACAAGCAGGTCAGTAGATAGATTTTTCCCTTCTATTTATGTTGCAACACAGTTGTTCCTAATTTTAAGGTTTTGGAGCTCTGGAAGTGGGGTTTTTTTGCAAGTTAACATGGGTAGTTGTATGGTCAGGCTTTTAATGGAAGAAACAACTCTGTAAAAGCGAGTTGGTTTTACAAATCACCTGCATGTGAGATGTAACGTTTTCTGAACCATGGTTTGGGAGGAACTTTCTTGCTTACAGCTTCCCATGTATTTTTCTACATATGTTTTTTCCACAGCAACTAATTGTTATGATCTCTGTTCTCTTCAGTAGGCTTAAAAATGAAAAATGGGTTATATAGGGCGTTGTGGTTGCCTCAGTAAAGTGCGTCAGCCAAAGTTGTTTCTGAAAATCGTTGTGATCACTACTGCATAAAGGAATGTAAAAGCTCAGCCTTAGGTGGGCTTTTTTTGGTGTGTTTTCTTTTCTCATTTTGTCTAAAATATGAGCTCTTAAATTTACTATGAAAAAAATACATAAAACGACTTGAGAACAGGTTATTTCATGCCAGCTATGATCAGAATTCTACTCTAGATCAAAAGTTTTACATTGTGCATAATTATACCTCTGATGCTTCAGGTATTTAGTATCCGTACTTAACATCAGAAATAATAAATATGTTGAATAAGCAAGGTTGATTCACTTCAGGAAAGTACGTTTATTTGTAGTACAGGATGCTACAAAATATCTATGCCTTTAAAAACAGTATTAGTGAAAAAGTGCTGTGGGGGATCTGTTTGAGAGTGGGATATGGTATTTTTCTCTTTAAAACTCAGATGGAGCGTTGCATGCTTTGAAAAGAAGACTAAACCCAAACTTGTTGCTCTTTCTATGGCACTTAGTACCTGTGGTTCCTGTATTTTGTCCAGAACTTTCTTGCTTAAAGACCTATAGGTGGTGTTTCCTGTGGAGTCATGATAGACAATCAAATTGGGCTTGTGTTATAGTATGCAGCCTTATGAAGGACATTCTGAGAATGCACAGTACCAAATCTTTAGAGGTGTGGTGCTTGAATTAGTTTTCTTACTCATTTAAACTGCATGGTGGGTTGAGAAGATTCAGGTGTATGGAGGAGAATTGCAGGGTTTCAGCAGGTTTTCTTTGGGACCAGAGGAAATGAGACATGCATGTTAGTACTGGAAAGCTGATTATTCTGTAGGGGGATCAATGTCACCTGCATGTTTTTAAAAAAAAAAAAAAAAAGCAGCTAAATGGACAATCACTCACCCCTGTTTATTTCCCTGTTGCAGTTAGTGGTGTTCCTCTATTCCTGTGTGCCTTTGGCAAAGAGTAGCTTTATGTATTCCTACTACTAAAGGCTTAAATGAATTAAATAGTAGCTCAGATAAAGCATAAGGACTTTGTGCACCTGATATCATTATGATTTATATTATGTAGGACATAAACTTCAAATATGTGTAAAACACTGGGGATTGAGAAGGACATTCTGTTGCTTCATGAAAGATATCCCTTAATAGGGGTTGCTTAGGTAGTCGCTGTGTGTGTGGACTTATTTTGCATGTTTTGTCATTGGTTTATTTGCTAAATGCTTTATGTCTGTGTTCAGTGTTCTCCATACCCAAGCAAGTCTAAATATGATAGATAATAAATTAATTTTAAAACTCAATGTAAGATTACGGTTACGGACATTTGAAGTATATGGACCATGATCTCGTAGGAAAATATGTTAGTAAGTTATTTCAATCCATTCTCAGTTTTTTTTTTTTCACTTTGTATTCAAGTAACGTTTACCTGCTTATAAATGGTAACCTGGGGGGTAGTCCAGGCTGGATAACAGAATTCATGGTGTTTCTCCCAATAGCAGGTTGAAAATCAGAAATGAGGTTGTATGAAGTGAGTGGTATGAAGCAGTGTTTAGTGTGTGTAATTGTGTAATAGTGCGTGTAATTGTTGTGTCTCAGAACAGCATGAAACAGCTGATTTAGTCTCTCAGTGTGCACCCTAATATTAAACTGGGTTTTTTTTAAAACATCACTATGCAATTTCTAAACAATGTATAAAAGTGGGAAAGAAAAAAGTTAAGAAATTTGTTGATTTATGCATTTTAGGTAATGATTTAATGGTGGAGTTAACTTTGACATTCTGTGTATCTTCTTGAAGAGAACAGAAGTCCCCGTCTCTCACCCACTGCTGCCATTGTTTTCAAATGAAATAAAACCTCTGGAAAAAACAGCTAATGTGAATTTTATGCCAAAATTTTACTAGCCGCTAGAGGACTCTGTTGGTTTTTGTATCTGACTACATCTCTGCTCAGGTGGCTATCTGAGTAGTAAATACAGATGATAATTTTCTGGAGATTGTTTTCGCAATGATTAGTAATAATGAACCATTAATTACTTTTTATATAAGTGCAAGTTTTTTAATTATATTGTGATTTATAGTTATGTAACGTTTAGGGTGTGTAAAACTATCTTTAAAAACATAGGGGCAGCAGCAGTTTTTGGTAGAGATCGCTATCTCATTTCTGTGTACTTTAAGGTTTTTCTATGGGAACGGAGTAAGTTTTCTCCTACAATTGCTTATGAACTGATGAGTTCACTTGGCTG